GAATGCAAAGCTTTTAAGTCTCTCAAATTTCCAATTTCAACTTAAGTAACTCAATCAAGCCTTTCTTCTTGTTGAAATTAAAAAAAAAAAATTAAGAGTATATGAGAATATATTGTAGAGTATACGGGTGGATTTGAATCGAGCCGAGCCTAATAGTATCAGGCTCGAGCTCGAGCTTGAGCTTGGTTCGAGCTAGAACCTTGAGCTCGAGTTTGGCTTGAGTCAAAAATTTGTAAGCTTGAGCTCGGTTCGGCTCGAGCTCGATTTGAAAAAAAATGTTTTACAAAAGTAAAAAATTATATATAAAAATTATTTTTTATTTGATATTTAAATAGTTAAGAATTATAATATTTTTATTTTATATATATATATATATATTATTTTCTATAATTTATATATATTCAAGCTCAGCTCGCGAGCCTCATGAGCCAAGCTCTATTAGGCTCGAGCTTGACTCATTTATTAATTGAGCCTATAAATTGGGCTCGAGCTTGGCTTGAAACCGAGTTGAGCTTTTCACGAGCCGTGCTCGAGTAGCTCATGAAGAGTTCGGCTCATGGCCACCCCTAATAGAGTAGTGTGAGAGTATGAGAATGGGAAATTGAATTTATAGGGGTTAGAAATAATTAAATTAATCAAAATACTGTCCTAAACTAGTAATTTATAGTTATTAGGAGGGTATTTTGGTCATTTAAAAAGTTTATTTATCACTTTACTTAAAATGCCCCTTAAACTTGTTGTTTATAGTTGTTGGGGGCATTTTAGTCACTTTTACACCCTCTTTGATAAAATACACAAATACCCCCAGAATAGTTGTTAGGGGGTATTTTTGCCATTGTACCCCCTTTAACAGTTATAAAATGGCCAAGTTCCGCGGTCGGCAAACAAGGTTGTGTCATGTCGTGTAGGCACGAGCCCACATGGGTCACAGGCCGAAAAAACCTCGGCTCAACCTGGCCCCAGGGGTCGTGCTGTGTCTAGCATGATCCGTCACTATAGTTGGTAGTTGTGCCAAGTCGTGTKGCCCCACAGGCGGCCTTACTCATTTTACACATCTAACTTGGTTAAAGAAATTTATATTTTAAGAATTGA